AGAAAGAAAGAAAGAAAGAAAGAAAGAAAGAAAGAAAGAAAGAAAGAAAGAAAGAAAGAAAGAAAGAAAGAAAGAAAAGTCATAATTTTGACCAGAACTTTTTACAGGCACCATTGGTTTGGGGAGTTAAGTTATATACTCTTTACATTGGCTTAAGTACACAGAGCTTAGATTTCCTACTTTGGAATCTCAGATGAACAGAAAGATGCTATATAGTTTAAGTAGGTTTCCATTCACTACTAATTCTGTATCCTGTAGACATCTGGTTATGGTGCTGTGTCTGTGTCTATCCCAGCTTTGTGATTCTTATCTTAACAAAGGTGGGGAGCAGCCCATGGGGCTGGAGCAACTGTAAAGTCATATGTTGAATTTCCTGGTATACAGGATACCCCTGAAGGGACCCAAATACCATTGATCTTGTTATTTAAAAAGAAAGGAAGGGTCTGCACTGTGCCAAAGAGAATGGGAAATGTGTAAAGAACTCCAGTAGCAAGCATAGGCCACGTTTGTGCTGCTTTAGCACAGAGTTAATTTCTTCTAGTTAGAGGCAAAAGATTAAAAAAAAAAAAAAGAAACAAAACCAGTCTACCTTGTGTTTACTATGTGCCTACAATAAATATAACGTACTTCAGGGCTTCTGTAACAAGTTTTTATTCCCTATGAAGTGTAGATTGTATTTAAAATCTGTTCTAAAAATAAGCAAAATTATTCAGCTGGATCTTGGATTCTCTACAGAGCATAATTTTCTATAAAGGAAAACAAACAAAAACCCGGGCCTGGGGGTGGCACACACCTTTAATCCCAGCACTGTGGAAGCAAATGAAGGCGGATCTCTGTGAGTTTGAGCTCAGCCTGGTCTACAGAGCGAGTTCCAGGACTGCCAGGGCTACACAGAAAACGTGTAAAATAAGCAAAAATAAAGAACAAAGATTCGGTCGGTGTTCTGAGGTAGAATCTGGGCACCGAGATCCAGTGAACACTTACTTCAGATGACAAGGCCAGCTTCCTCTGTGGACTGTGTCTCAGTGATAGGTAAAGAGCTTCCCTTGCCGGAGTGGAGCCTTGGGGTCAATACCCAGCACTGCAGAAAACAGTTTGTAAGACTGTTAAAAGGCCCAGCCTGTGCACTGTACAAATTACAGTTATCTGTTGTTTAAAATGAATTTCTCTTCGATATAAAAGAATAAACCCTCCTCCTTTTGTGTCACTGGCTCACTGTACAGTTAAGGATGTCACCTTGAACATCTGCCTCTGCCCCTGGGTGCATGGATGGCCAGGGCCACCATGCCTCGGCCCGATTTCTGTAACTAACTGCTAATACCAAGTGCATACTTCAAGCTTTATTTTTGGTAACAACAGAGTTGTTCTGGCTCCCCACCCCTTCCCTGGTGCTTCCTTCCACCCCTGAAGACCTTGCTTGGGGTCTGGCATTTGAGGCCCCCACCTCCACCCCTGGTGTGAGCTCTCCTAAAAAGGTTCTAGCCTAGCCTGTCCCAGCAAATGTGTTCCATACTTTTCTCCCTCAGGGATGCTGTAGTGTCAGGGGGCATGGTTTTGATGCCATTTCCACGCAGGCCTGTGCCCCTTTCATTGTGACCCAGGTCTGCTTGGGTTGCTGTGTTCTGGAAGCACACGGGGGTGGGGGTGGGGGTGGGGGGGGCAAGCCTAGAGACCACCTTAGAAACGGTTGGCGTAGCGGTTCCGGGTGGTTCTTTCTGATCACGCATTCTGCCTTGAACAAACAGGTTGATTCCCCACAGCGCTAGGAGGCTGGCGAGGACCACGGAGGGAGGGGAAGGGAGCTGTCTCCGGAAGTGCGGGCGCCCCTCTCCAGTCCCGGGGGCCCTGGCGGGGGCGGTGATGACGTGCGAGATGACGCGGGCTGCGGGCCATGCGGAGGTCGGCGGACGTGGCGGGGGCGGGCGCGCGGCCGCGAAGGCCGAAGGGTGGGGGCCCTCCGCAGGACCCCAAGGCGGGGGCGCGCACCGCTCAGCCTGCCAGCCGTGCCCGCGCTCGGGCTAAGGGGCAGTCCGGAGACCCGCGCGTTTCCATCCCTTCGCCAGACTTGGCTCCTGACGTCTTCTTCCTGCGGGTGAAACTGGAGGAGACTGGGGAGCTGTTCCGCGTGGCCAACTGCCGCAACGACATGACAGTGCGGGAGCTCAAAGAGGAGCTGGACCTGGTGGTCGGCATCCCCTTCAACCTACAGCGGCTGCATTTCCTGGACCAAGGTGGCCCCTGCCCGACCCCTTCCCGACCCCCACGAGCTCCTTCCACGCAAGGGCCCCGGCCCACTCCTGCCCTGGGTCCCCAAGACACACCTAACTACCAGAGGACCCAAGGTGACCAAGTCAACTCCAACCATCTTGAACCCAATCCAGAAGGGCCCCTTGGAGCGCTGGCCACTCAAGGGCTCCCAAGTCCCAAACACACGGGTATCTCATTAGACCCCAAATATAAAGGTGGACCTGATTTGTAAACATTCTGTCTGTTGGCTGCAGTCTGCCAACCTTGAGCAAGGCCAGGCTACTCAGAACCTCAAATCTCAAACCACAGTAAGACCCTCCTGGCAACCTAGATCCTCTGTTTTCATAAGGGACCCAAACCCCTAAGACAACCGTGTCCACCTAGAACTGTGCACTTGAAACAAAACTAGGCCTCAGTAGGCCCCCCTCCCCCCATATCAAGGACAGGCCTCTCCCCGGTGAGAACCTGGGTTCAAAGCCAACCCTGAGTTGAACCCCAAGTTCTGTAGCCAGCCTGCCTGTGCAAGCATTCCAGAAGCTGAAGCAAACCTTGCTGGACTTAGAACCCCAAACTCAGAGCACATCTGCCCAAGTTTGAACCCCAAATCTCCAAGCCAGCAATAACTACATCAAAACCCTAAAACTCCATCAACTGTGCCCACACAGGGCTGCACAAGCTCAAAAGAATCCAGCTAGTCCCAGAACCCCCAATGCCCAGAGCTAAGTTGGCCAAAGCTGAATTCAGGTCTCCATGTTAATTATCACGGCCTCAGAAACCCAAGTCCTCCACCCTCAATGGCCACTAAAGGAAACTAAATATTAAATCTTACCCACTTCAGGGACCCCCAAATCCAGAGCAACCATGGCCGAATCTTCAGTCTAACCATGACTATGTTAGATGCCACCAGGCTTCCGTCAGCTGTGTCTGCATAGGGATGCTAAAACTCAGAACAAACCTTCCTATGCTGGAACCCCCAAACCCAGAACAAAGCTGAATGTTCAGATCCCCCCCACACACACACACATTAACCACTAACACAAACAATCCCCCAGTTGATACCAACTATATATTCATTCAAGGGTACTAAAATTAAAAATAAAACCTGCCCATCCTATAACCCCAAGCCCAGAACATACCTACCCAAGGCGGAACCCCCAACTCCCCCAGGCTAACCACTACTATAGCCTCCCAAATTCTTACTGTGTGCATACAGAGATGCTAAAACTCAAAACAAATCTTGCCTGTCCTGGGACTCCGAACCCAGAACAAATCTGAACCCCAAATTTGAGCCTCAAATATCTAGGCTAGCCATCACTCTCTTAGAATCCCAAGTACTCCAACAACTTATTCATATAAGGATGTCAAAATTAAACCAAATGCTTCCTTCCCACTCTGGTACCCCCAAATCCAGAATATACCTACCCAAATCTCCATACTACCTATTACTACTTCAGAACCCCAAATCCTTCAGCAGCTGCATTTACATGAGGATACTGAAACTCAAACCAACCCTACCCACCTTAGGGTCCCCAAATCAAAACAAGCCTGGCCATATGAGCCCTAAGTCTCCAGGCTAACCATATGACCATCAGGACCTGGAATCCTCCATGGCTGTGTCCATACAAGGATACTGAAGGCTGAGGCAAGCCCTGCCCACCTCAGGGTCCTAAAGTCTATCCACACACAGCTATGTTTGAACCTCAAATCCTCTAGCTGCCCCCTGGCCACTCTAGCACCCTAAGTCCCAGAGCAGGCTCCGCCCACATCACAAGTATCAACACCGAGCCTATGTACCCAATTCTGAGACACCCCTCCCCTGAGCTCCCACCATCCATCTGTGCAGCCAAACCCCAGTCTACATAAGGATGCTAGATCCTAAAATGGACCTTGCCCACATCTGGACCCCCAATCCAAAGCTAGCTCTGTCCACCTCTGAAAGGCAGCCCCCAAGCTCCCCATGACCACAGCAGGACCCCACTTCAAGCCAAATGTCTCATAAGGGTTCCAAGGATTAAATGAATCATGCCTTCAATAGGACCCCTCCAAAAGTCAAGCCAAGCCTGCCTCTCTTTGATTTATCCCCCCCCAACAACATGTGTTTATGAGCATTTCAAAGCTGATGCCTGCTGTGTCCCAGTGAGGAAACAAAGGTTCAAAGCAACCCTGACTCATGAGGACCCCAAACCTACTCATATCAGAACCCCAAACTTAGAGCAAACTCGGTCACTAGCAGGACCCTAAATCTCAGGGGAGAGCTGTTTGATTCCTAACTCTCAGTTGCTCACCAGCCAGAGCTGCCTAAACCAGTCCATGCAAGAACCCCAAATCCTGCCACAGATTCCTCTTAAAACAGGACCCCTAACCAGCCAGCAAACCTTGCTGTCATGGGAACCCCAAAGCCAGAGTAAATCCTGCTCTCGTCAGGACCCCAGAACTCAAAGCAAACCTTGCCCATGATGAGACCCCCAATTCTGACACTGACCTATTTTGTATCTAACCCCCAAGGTCCAAGCTATGTCCTTTCCCACATTGGGGGCTCAAAGGGAGCCTAGCAGGATTAGAACCCAACACCTGCAGCTCTCTTGAATCAGGACCCCATGAACCCTATCTTAAATCAGGACCCCCATGGACCCCTATCTTAAATCAGGACCCCCATGAACCTCTATTTTAAATCAGGACCCCATGAACCTCTATTTTAAATCAGGACCCCCATGAACTCCTATCTTAAATCAGGACCCCCATGAACCCCTATCTTAAATCAGGACCCCATGAGCCCCTATCTTAAATCAGGACCCCCATGAGCCCCTATCTTAAATCAGGACCCCCATGAGCCCCTATCTTAAATCAGGACCCCCATGGACCCTGATCTAGATGAGTTCCATGGGGAGGCACCCAGTGGAGGTCAGAGGCTCAGCAGCCTATCCATCCATCTATATCCTTCCCTCATCTGAGGACGTGGCTGCCCCTGTCCCCAGTCCCTACAATGTTTAGGATATGAGAACAGGATCAAAGCCCCTTGGGCTCCATCATCTCCCCACCTGATGGAAATCAACGAAAAACACTTCAAGAAAATGAAGATTTGAAAAAGAAAAAAAAAAAAATCTCTAGGCTGCCGGGGGAATGTGAGCAGCCAGTATCCCGGAGACGCTGCGGAGTACTGCAGGGCCTGAGAAGGATGGAGACAGCTCTGAAAGCAGCCTGTCCCCACGCTCCGTGTTCTCACGCTGCCCTTCCTGGGCTCAGTTTCCTAATCCGGAAAGCAGAGCCCCATTAGCTCTAGAATTCTCTGTGCTGTTCCCCGGTGGACAGGAATGACTCTGCAAACCACCAGTGTGTAGGCAAGGCCAAAACACTTTCTCTTGCTACTTTAAAAAATAGGTTAAGTGTTTTCCATGGCACATGTATTTTCTTACAGTAGTTGACAAAGACTTTCTGATATTCTTGAAGCTTTATGTAGCACGAAGCTGTGTTTTGAGCTTCAGTCTGTAGCTAACAAGTTATAAATGAGGTGAGGCATAGTAGGGGGAATAAGTAAATGGCCCCCAACAGGGAATTGGAAAATTATGTATCCTCCCAACTCTGGACCACCTTGACTCATTTGTTTTCACCAATGGGCAGTAAATTCAAGCAAGCTGAAGCGGGAACGCGAAGCGGGATGACTTCACTCCTGAAGTCACAGTGCTAAGATTCAGCAGTCATTTAGCAACTGTCGGAGGCCTGACCCTTGTGCTGTGTTGGGCTGTGCTGTTCTGACTGTGGCTGGCCCAGGAGAGATGGGGCTGATCTGTCGCTAAGAGAAATTTGGGTCCCTGCCTGTAAATAACTGGCTGACACATCTGCCCACCTCCAAGGTTGCAGAGGGAAGAGCAAGTGAGATCATGGTGGTAAAGTGTCTCGATGGCCATGTCTCGGTCAGTCGAGCAAATCCACGGGCAAGTGCTGCCCCTGCCAATCATTTATTTATCTCTTGATAATTAGTAGCATTTCTCTGAGCCCAAGGTAGTGGCTGCCCATCTGCAAAGGGGATATGCTAGGGATTGCGTAGGAACCGCTGTGGGTGAAGAAACTCATCTCTCCTAGACATTTACAAAGTGGTTAAAGTCTCAGGCTAGTGACAGGCTGGCTACCACATTCAATCTACAAATGAGACCCAATTTACAGATTTGCTAACCAGCATTCTCTGTCTCCATCCTCCTGAGAGTCCGGTCATCAGATGGTGCCCACAAGCTTGGATGGAGTCTGCTTTGCCACATTCTAGCTGGGCCTAGCCTCAGTTTGTTCCCTGTAGAGGAAGGGCCATGGAGGCTGGAGGATCATCCTAAGGCTTACCCTCAGTTCAGGCACAGAGACCCAACATAATTATCAAGAAATCAGAACATTCATGGATTCTGCTCACCTGGAAAGCTACTGGGGTAGCTTGGGCAGATCATTATTGCTTATGAACAGTCCAAGTCTTCTGTAGTCCCAAAGATGGTAGGTGACCAAGAAAGAAACATGTATGCGTTTTCAAAGAGAAACTACCACATTTCAAAAACCACTTCCTACATAATGTCCCTTCAACTATCTTTCCCAAATCCTGGGCTAATTTGTTATTTATATATTTAGACAGGATCCCATATATCTCAGGATAGTCTTGAACTGCTGATTCTCCTAGCTCCAGCTCCCAAGTTCCGGGATGACAGGTGTGTGCCACCAAGCCTGGCTGGTTTATGAATATGGGACTAGATCCACTGTTGATCACATACTCATCTTATTCAAGATGCCAAGCTGGATCAGGCAAGAGCTCTGACGCTCAGGTCCAAATACAGTGAGCATTGATATTTGCTTCTGATGTTACCATAGGCTTTATGGGGACAATGTGTCCCCATCAGGGGCAATGTTTGGGGGACACCCTTGACTGTAAGAGTTAGCTGTAGGTGCAGCCGATGTGCCATTGTGGAGGTCCTAGCGGCTGTGGTGCCTGGGGAAAGAGAGGGTTAGTTACCTAGTTGGAATGTCAGTTAAGCACCTACGAGGAAAAACCCTGACGTGGGCTATCTGTCATCTGCAAGATCTTGCATGTCACTGTCATCTCTTTAGCCAGCTAATGGCAACATTCCCTGGAGTCGGTATTCAGTTGAAGGTATATAACTTGCTAAGTACACTGTCGGGCCTGTGATGTATAGCTCAAATTTAAGTAGTTCTATTTGTAGAGTTTGCCTCATAAAACGATTTCACTGACTCATGTATTTTTCCCCAACAGGACAAGCTGTAATTACAAAATTTTATAAATCATTGCCATTGTGTATGTTTTTTTTTTTTTCTTTTTGGGTCCAGCTTCGATCTGAGCTGAGCCAAATTAATTTTCTAAAAAGCATTAGCAGCAGCAAACGGGCTCCTGTGCAACCATCGAGTGGGAGATTTTCTTCCCCCTTTGCTCAAGATTTTAAAAGTATCTTTGTGTGATTCAAGGTCAGACACTGTCTCAACTGATACAGTGATTTCTCTTTAAGTCCTAATTTTGTTAAAAGGAAAAATTGTTCCCCATAGGAATTTTGATGGATGATGCTACCCTGAAGTTCTACGATGTTATCCCTGGAGCAGTTATTTCATTATGTATCTGGCATTATGATGGTTGGACGGAACTGGTTTTGGCAGCCGTGGAAGGGGACCCCAGTAAGGTGGTTTCATGCTTCTTTCAATATTAGGGATTGAGGGACCCCCAGTCTTTAGCATGAGCATTTGAATAAAGGCCTCAGAGTAGGGAAGAAAGATGAGACTCCTGGATGGAGTGTTTCCAGCCAGTCTGGCCTCGTGAGTCCCCCAGGTTTACTTATTGACAGTTTATAAACCTGCTTACTCCACCCCCATGGAGCCCAGGTGATACATTTTCTATCTACGTGTTGGTCAAGTAGAAAATCAAATTTAATCCTAAGAGTGGGGCTGTAGCTCTGTGCTCAGGGACTTGTGTGCCATTTGCAACTGGGCAGAAACACCCAGGAGGTTATGTCTGATTTGTGGGGACAGCAGCCTGTGCACCAGACCTCCTGCTGGGCCACCCACTGGCTCTGGGAGAGGATGGAATGGAAGAAGAAGACAGGAATGCTTACCCATCCGTGAAAGTGAATGGTTGGCACCGGGGCAAGGGTCTGCTCCTTCTTCAGAAGACTTTGAGGGTAGAGCTCTGAGATCCCGTGGAGGAAGAGGCAGTTTCCTGGTGGGACAGGGCTCAAGGGAGGGTTGAGTGGAGGGAGAGGTGCTGGGATGCATCCAGGGAAGGAAGGGTAGCGGTGAGCTCTGTATCACAGACCCCAGCTAAGGAGCAGGAGCAAGGGCTATCTAGCCCCAGCTGTAACATGTCTTCTAGCTACTTTTCTACATCCCCCAATTTTACTTTCTCAGTTTCCCCTCTTTGCTGGCAATTCAGTCAGTGCCTGGGCTTCTCTCCTCCGGCCTGTGCAACTGGCCGCATTGCCCACCTCACACCACCTGACCCTGGACATATGAAGCACAGCCCTCCCTGTGGTATCCCTGGCCCTCTTCCCATCCCTGAAGACTTATGTCTTCCCAAGATGGTTCTATGGTGGGCTCTCTACCTGCTAGCAGAGTTCAGAAAGTTCCAGAAGTTGACAATGGGAACAAAAATAGATTGGAAATACAGAATCCATCATGGCTCCAAAAGGACCTCCCTCTTCTGAGGGTACCATGTTGTGTTGTTTTTCCAAAGGTCCACAGACATCTTCCTCTGGACACTAGCAAAATTATTTTCTCCCTTTAAAACATTGACAGGAAGGCCTTCCTGTGTCTCCTGCCTGACAGGGGGTGGGGGTGTGGCTGCACTTCCTGTCAGCACCCCTCTACTCCCGCTGTGCACCTTAGTTTGGATCAAGTCAACCTCACAGGTGCTGGGGTGTGAGTGACGCTCTAGAGACAACCTTAACCTCTTTCTTTCACCTAGCTGTCATGCCTTGGCATCAGTGAGGACACCTTCTACCGAACGGCCAACTCACAGCACTTTAAGGGTGAGCAATGGAGGCAGTGGACCGCCCAGAGGGCGTTTGTGGCCTTGTACATCTCTGCTCACAGAGGTCATGCGGATGCTGTGCGGTATCTTCTAGAACTTGGTAATTCTGCAGAAAGCATGGCCTTGTCTGGTTGGGAGGACAGTCATCTACCTGTCTTAGTGTTTCTTCAGCAGTGGCTTCCTGAAACCCAGTCTTTCACCCACCAAACATGTCTCCCACTGGGCTCATTGGTCATACACTCCTTGGGACATGCCCACCAGAGGCCTGCACATCTTTGGGCCAGGTCTCTAGAACATTCTCTTGTGGTAGGACCAAAATTATAGGACAGTGAGACATAGGGGGTGTCCAGGACTTCCTAGCTTGTCTTTTCCAAGCAGCCCATGGTCTGTCTTCATCTTTGTCCCACCTGAAGCAGATTCTGCAACGGTCCCAAAGGACCTCATTCTGGGTATCACAAAGAGTGGCCAGCAGGCTGGCTGGAGGTCCTCTCGAGTAGATCTTCAGAAAGATGCTCACTGCCCCCCTCCTTTTCATCATGTCTCCACTTAAGGGTCTGCCTGTCTGTCTGTCTGTCCAAAGTTGTAGTCAGCACTGTGTCTGAACAGATGTCACAGGATCTCCCCCTGGTTGGGAGAATGATAATCCCCGATTGAGAGACAAACCACTAAAAACAGTACCACAGGTTTAGACAGCCCAAAGCCATGACTTCCTTGGGAAAAGGAAGGAATAGCAAAAGCCTCTGGTTTTTAAATCTGCTGCCCCCATGTAGGACCCTTTCTTTCCATCTGCAGTCTTGCTCAGTCCTGGCTCTATCCCCCCACCCCCTTATACCAGGCAGGGTGGGAGATATCCCAAATTTCCAGGGCAGAATGCTGTCATGTCACATCTCTGATACAGAGCTCGGGGATGGCTGGGCGATAACACCATGTTCTCTGCCATCCCACACTGCCTTTCTGCACTTCTCTTATACAATGAAAGATGGGCTTTCACAGCCCAGCAGTCCTTTAAGCTCATAAAAAGTCATCTTCGCTCTGATGGAGCTGTGATGTATTTGAAGGCACCCGTTAAAATATGACGGCCGGCTTTGCAAAGTTTTCCATCCTCTGCAGCCACCACAGGGGGAGGTGCAGGGGCGTGCCTGCATTCTGGAAGCCTACTTAAGCTTCGCCTCGCCAGCCAGCCATAGCTCAGTCCGACTGTGGAGGCAGCCGCAATGCCAGCTGGGTTGAATTGAATTGCCTTGTTTTCTGTGTCATGATTTTTGTTACCCAAAATTTGATTCAACTCTGCAAGTTCATGCTGGACCCCTGTCCTTAGCCCATCTGTCTGCAGAAGGCAGTGAGAATCCAGATCCATGATCCATCTGTCTGCAGGAGGCTATGAGAATCCAGACCTAGAGAATCCATGCTTAGGCTGCCATCGCCTGCCACCTCCCCAGGACCTCTCTAGCTGTGTTGGTGATAAAAACTGCAGTGCTCAAACCATGTGTTTCTGTCCTCATGGATCTTAAATGGGAAAGCCAGCCAATGATTACAAATGATTAATTCCACAGCCAGTCACACGTGGGATGCATTAAACACAGTGCCTATTGTATAGGGTGGGGTAGAGGTTGTAAGGAGAAAGAAATAACAGGAATAGTGTGTGCAAAGGCCCTGGGGCAGGGTGCAGAATGAGGTATTTAAGGGTAAAGACAGGAAATACATGGAGCTGGAACTTTGGAAGCAAAGGGAATCAATCAGGAGGAAGCACAAGGGAGGGGTGAGGATAGCCTTGGAATAACCAATCAGTGTAGTGAGACAGGCAGATAAAGACCTCAAAGAGTGCACCACAGGCAGCAAGACTCAGTGATAGGCTTGGGACAGGAGATTGGAATGGGTGCCCCATGGGACCAGGCTAGATGGGAGGGGTGATGAGCTCTCCCTTGATTCCTGCCATAGCCCTGGCCCTCTTCTTCTTGTACCTCAGGGTCAGATGGTGGGGCTTCTGTCTGGAGAGCAGTCTACTCCAACAGGTATTTTTATCTCACAGGAGCCAACTGCCTGGGCAAATCACCCCTGGGCAGGACGCCCCTGCATGTGATTGCAGCCATGGGCAGGATGGACTGCATCAGGCCCTTACTGGAACATGGTGCCTACATCCATGAGAGAGACTCGAAAGGGGAAACACCCATCACCATCGCAAGGCGCCTGAAGCGCGAACATTTCGAGCGCAAGATGTTCCTCCTCTACTGGATGATCAAATCTGGGAGCAAGGACCCCAATGACTTGGTAGTGAGGGGGGCTCCAGAGAAATCCAGCTCTGGAAATGTGTCCAAAAGCCCCGTGTAGCTCCCCTGAGCACGTTTGCCCATCATCCTGCTCTGGGGCAACCTTGCAGCTCCCACAGTGGCCCCCATGACACTCATTAGGCGACAAAAGAAGGGACAGATCTAAATCAGATGCCCAATTGGTTGTCCTCTTACCAGTGTCTCTGGGAGGGTGTAATGGAGCAGGTGAGCTCGTCTCTTTTGTGATCCATTCTGTTCTCACCAGGCCCACAATGCCAGCCTTTAATTTTAAGCTCTTTGTACGTGGTACCCAATCACACTGGTTGGGGTGATGGTAGTCAATTATCTCTCCCTTTTGAGGCCATCTAATGCACCAGCATAATAGGAGTAATAGCAGGAATGATAATAGCACCCTTGTTATCGTGCAGAGAGAGCACTGGCCTACGTCAGGAGGTCATGTGCAGTGTAGGTTGGGAATTTGTTTGTCAGACCTATGCAGCTAACCGTTTCCGTGGCCGGGAATGACACATAGTTGGCTGAGCCAGCTCTGAGGAGTCTGCTGATTGAGTGCAGGGCAGAAGAGAAACTGGAAGTAAGGGCCTGTGAACCTCCAAGCATAGTCCACCGAGAGGCTGCTTTCTTATCCTTGTGGCAAGTACACACGTGGCCTTAGGGATAGAGGAAACAACATAGGAGGCAAAAAGGAGAGAGTGAGGCTGGCAGCCTCTTCCTGTGGTCCCAGTCCAGTGGCCCCCATAAGCTTTCACGCTCCTTTTCACTTTCCCAAGCAACACCTTTCCCGGGGAGCTGACTAGCTCAGAGTGCCTGCTGTTGGCTCCAGGCAATACTCTGCCTTAGTCTATACCTTAGACCCTGCAGTGGGGGTGAGTAAACCAAGTGCAGACTACAAGCAAAGAAGCCGAAAATGAGGCCCAATGCCCAAGAAAGGGCATAGGGACCCAGCTCCAACAGAAAGGCAAGGCAGAAGTTGCTATTTTGTTCTAGAGTGTTCCAGAGCTAAAACCTGACTTTCATGATAGTTTAGCTCCAGGTTTTAAAATAGTGCTTTGAAATTCTGAATAAGTAGCAAGGTATGAAAGCATGCTGAGGGACAGTTGCTTGCTGCTTAACTGTTTGGTCCACTGGGAAAGTGCTAGAAGGAACCTGAATCTCATTAGGATGATCCCCAGTTCTATAGCTGCAGTCTAGGGACAGCCACAGGCCTTGTAGTGAAACATAATGTCCACCTTGTTACTCCTGGTGGGCCTTATGTTCCCCTGAAGCCCTGAACTACAACACAAGTTCTGGAATCCACCTACATGTCAAAGGTCTCTTGGCCACTCACCAAGTTGCTTGGAGTGGGAGCAGGGGAGAGGGCGTTGCACCCTGGCTGACCTTTGCAACGTCCCAACAACTAGACCGAACTTTAAAATGAATGGCCCTTGTTTCCTGGTGTCACAGCAAGTAAGACCTTTGTTGACAATGGTCTTATACCAGCTGACGTGGCTGGGCCCAGGCTTGGCCATCTGTTTGACAAATAAGAGTCAGAAAAACACGTATCAGCATCAAGGATGTCAAACTGAGATCTTATGTTTGGCAGGCAGGCTCCAAAGTCAATAGGCAGATATTAAAGAACCCCCATCCATTGGGTCGGGTCACTTAGCTAATGAGGTGTGTGGAGGGGAGGTGACTCATGGGTACCCTTTTAACTTAACAAGTGGAGTCCCTCCAAGTATTGTGTTTGCCAGGAGCTTGCTAAGCAGTCTTTCTTATTGGAAGAGCCAACAGCCTGGCATGAGGACCCACACTTTTGGGGACAAGAACTCCATTTCCCCCAATTCAATTAGACTTTTGGCTGGATATGCAGTAGCATCAAGTTCTCTGTGGTGACATTTTCTTCAGTCTGGGCCAGGGTCACTTGGACACTTTGCTGGGTTCTGAGGACACTTCGTTAGAGACAATCTCTATACCTTGCATTGGGTCTTGGGGTACAACTTAGGTGCCAAGCAAGCACAAGACCCCGGATTCTTCAGCCCTGTGAACACACACACACACACACACACACACACACACACACACACACACACACTAGCCCCTGCATATCACATAGAAATAACCCCATATCACAGGCTGTATGGGGTATTTCAACAGCTGTGCTAACAGATCTTCCATTGGTCAATAGAATAATAAATTTGGAACTATTTCTTTCCATGCTTATTTTGAAGAGTATCTTGTTGTTCATAATCAGGAACTAACAAAGGGAAGTCAAGGGAAGGGCCATCTTCAGTATTCCTGTAGAAGCTAAAACACCATGCTGGCCCATGCCCTGGAGCAGGTCTGGAATGCTGAGGGAACCGTGTCTGCCACATCCTGGGGATACTTTCTGCATGGAGAGGACATTCGTTCCCCTACGTCTGTGCCCTTACATAGGACTGGCCTTCCAGTCACCAGGGACCTCACTTGTGTGGAATTGAGGGCACAGAGTAGGGGGCAGTGCAGCCCTCTGGGCTCATGTTTCTGGGTGGGTCTTTGCTTCTCTGAGCCAAGGGTTTCCTATAGAGGAGGGAGAACCATTCCTGCGCCCAGTCCCCATGTTGCTGAAACCATTGAGAAGCACCCAACAAGCTGTTGGAGACCTTGGCTGGGAGCCTTGCTGAAGCACCAGAAATGATGTTTGGACCATGGAGGGAAGGAGAATGAAGAATGCCCACTCGGTGTCTTTTCTGGGCTCTCTTCAGTTCTGGTCACCAAACTCTGATGACCAACCAGCCTTTGAACCCTAGTGCCCTGGAGAAGTGCTAGAGTGTGTCCTTGATGACATTTGAGGGAACATCAAGAACAATCTTCCTTATCTCTTCATCTTGCTCACCAGTGAGCCTCATGGCAGCCTGGGAGACAGTTCTGGACAGCCAGTCCCACAGGATGACTCAGCGAAGATGATGGTTGCAATGGTCACCATGTTTCCATTTGCCTTGGCTACGAGAGTCCTCAAAGTCAGTGTCCAGTGACCAGTGTTCCCTCTCTTCTCTTCTCACTCAGTGAGTCCCCAGACTCCCCTCCTGATCGACCCCACAGAGGTCATTGCTCCTATCATGGAAGCCAACCAGTGAAACGTTTAAAGACAGCAATACAAGCTGTAGGTTAAAGAGAGTAGCCTGTACGGCTCACTCAGGACCAAGATGGTGCAGCTAGAGTGAGCCGTACAGGCTACTCTCTTTAACCTATAGCTTGCTTGAATTGCTGTATTTAAACGTTTCACTGGTTGGCTTCCATGACAGGAGGGGTCTAGTCTCCTGGCTCTTCAGCCTCTGGTATCCCCATCCCAAGTGTCATCAGCAGAGAGTAGAGCTCTTCCTGTGTCCTTGAGTCCCTTGACCTCCCAGCACCCTGTGTCATGTGTCTGGATGCTCCCTCTATGCTTACTAGCCCAGGGTCTCTAGAGTGTGGGGAAAGTGTCCCTCTTGACCCTGCTTGGGTATACTGAGCACTGGATGAGCAGGTTGACCCCATGCCAGCTTCTCTGAGGCTTACAGTGTAGGCTAGAGAGCTTTACTCTGTGTTAGCCTACATGGAGCCCTCTAAGCCTGTCTGGCCTCCACATGAGACCCAAGTAGAGCAGACTTCCACAGGCAACAGTGTTCTACTGACTATAACATTGCCTTGCCTTCTGCATGCCATGGGCTAGGATTATGGTCTCTCTTACCCCCCCACTGTGTGTGTGTGTGTGTGTGTGTGTGTGTGTGTGTGTGTGTGTGTACACACATGCAGGTGTGGGTGTTTGGGGCCATATTCAGAGCTCAGCCTCTATGTGTGGTTCCTTGGGTACCATGCACCTTTCAATTTTTTTTTTAAAAATTTACTTTATTTTGTATTTATTTTTTTGAGATAAGGTCTTTAACTGGCCTGGAACTCACCAGTTAGGACTAGGCTGGCTGCAAGTCCTCAGGGTCTTCTTGACTTTGCCTCCTCAGCAAGTGCTTTGCCCACCATCATGATAGATTCCCCCCCCCCAAATTTTTTTTAATGTATGTGGTGTTTTGCTTTCACATAATGTCTGTGTGCCACATATGTGCCTGGTGCCTGCAGAGGCCAGATGAATGTGTTGGATCCCCTGGAAGTGGAGTTACAGATGGTTGTGAGCCACCATATAGGTGCTGGGAACTGAACTTGGGTCCTCTGCAGAACACTTAACCACTGAGCTATATCTCCAGGCCCCATACTGGATTCCTTCATGTGACTTCTGGGGCTCAAACCCATGTCCTCATACTTGTACAGTAAACATGACTGATGGAGACGTTTCCCCAGCTTCCCTCCTCTTCAGTTGTTGACTGCAGGACCAATGGCCGCCACCTCCTGATATTCTCAGCTCCTTCCACCCAGACCATACATAGGTCTTGTCTTCCTACACAACCAGCTATGTTGGTGGAAGAAACGGCCCGTGGGAATTGCCTGCTATACTGACCCTTTGATGAGCAGGGCAGCCGGCTTTGTGGTCTGGTAAATGTGCTTTACAGACTTCCTCTGCCCTAAATGTGTGGCATTAGGCCTACCAGAGGCAGTTCTTGGGCCCTCAGTTGCCTCACGTGGAGTGTTTGGGGTAATAAAACCTGCCCCTGCTGCCACCAGAGAGATGAGACTCTGGGCACGAAGCAGACACTTGAAAAATGGCAGGCATTATTTGTATTATTATACCACCAACACTTAATTTGCTTAAAATGTTTGCTCGCTGAGAATCGATCCCCTCCCAGATTCCAGAGAGACTCATAAATTCTCAGCAGACCTTATACAATAAGAGTCTCCATCCAGAACTAATAATTCCCAAAGTGGAAGATTAATAATTTCCCATAAACTTGCTGGTCTGGACATTAAGTGGAAGGCTTTCTCAGCAACTCTAGAGCGCCCCCAGACCAGAGCTGCTGCGGAGGAACAGCAGACTTCAGGCAGAGGAAAATTCCAGTCTCCAGGCTCGCCTCTCTCTCCAGGCTCGCCTCCGCAGTGCACGTTGAGTACCATCAACACAGAGGCAATCAGTAGAGGGAGCAAAAAGCCCATTAACATTTAGCAAAACACCCGCGTTTTGTGTTCTGCAGAAATGTCAGAAATGTGTTCTGCGTCACTTGAAAATTTAAAAGTGGGGCTCAACTTGGGGGCTCGAGGGTGGCATTTCTGCCTGAGCTCTGAAACTGTCTGCAGAATAGGCCTGGGGAACACGTGCCTAGCTTTCGTGACATCCTGAAAGGGGTCTGTCCCCCTCCATCACTCCATTTTATTTCCCATAAACTTGCAGGTCTGGACATTAAGTGGAAGGCTTTCTCAGCAACTCTAGAGCGCCCCCAGGCCAGAGCTGCTGCAGAGGAACAGCAGGCTTCAGGCAGAGGAAAATTCCAGTCTCCAGACTCGCCTCCGCCTCCCTCCAGGCTCGCCTCCGCCTCCCTCCAGGCTCGCCTCCGCAGTGCACTTTGAATACCCCCCCAACACATAGGCAACCAGCAGAGGGCGCAAACATTTAGCAAATGTTAAAAGGTCACATCTGGTCATGGATCAAGAAGGCCCAATGTCCCAGTTGCCCCCAGAAAACATGGTACTGTACCCCCGTAGTGTCATCCTTGACCTGTTTGGTGGCTGTATGTTCTCAATTTAAAATGGAAAAAATAAATACCAATAACAATC